TGGGTAGCACGCTAATATACAGATAATAGATCAAAAGGGCTGCAGTGAATGGTGTCTGTCATGACCACAGTCATACATTACAGATAAAGCTATAACATTCCCTCAATAAAAGAGTTCTTTTACCATGTCTGTATCAGAATTAACTTGAGGATTTAAAATTGTTACAAAAACATTCTTCTGTACCTCATTATTAAGTGTTAACTCATTGAATCCATAGTCAGCATTGTTATGCTCTTTTGCTCCAGCTCTCAGAATTCTAGGATTTTGCTCGTCTAAGAGGAATACTTTAACTGGATTCACATGTTGGTTATCCAGGTACAGTCTGTTATAATAAGTTCCATTTCTGAACTCCTCAACAAACACAGTTCCTGTTCCACCTATGTCACCTCCACTGTTACTACCCATGCCGAGTGCCATCAACCCACCACGGTATTCATCAGTATGCATCACATGAACAGCAATGCGACCACCAGCACCTCCACCAGCTGCACCGTCACCCTTTCCACCATTGGCATACATCAAACCATGCCCACGCAAATGACCTACAGTAAATATGAAAATACAATTGAGTATTACCGGTACAATGTAAAAACTGAACACTACACCAGTAATAGGCTTTCGCCTGTCTGTGTTACATCACTGCTTTGAGTGACTATACATTTTGTATAGTATACCATTGCCTAAATACTGTATACAAACATTAGTTGTGATGTAACACATGATTTGATTACTATCTGTATTGTGATATACAGGTACATGTATGCACTATATTGTACATGTATAATCCACACATACATGTAAATAACATTACAGTAATCTTATGACAAGACATACCTGTGCTAGCCCAGATACTGCCACCACTACTTCCACCAGCACCAGACCAAGACACAGCACTGTCACCATTCACATTAATTTCCCCATCTAGATGGAATACAGAACCAACCACAATTCTCACGGTACCTCCACCTCTAGGTCCTGTCTCTCCATTCGATCCAGCACCACCACGACTGCCACCAAGCTGAGGCTCATAAATTGACCCATAGGGTCCACCACCTTTTATGCCATTCAATCCTATTAACAATAAAGCTTAGAGTTCAATGTCCAGCATTTTCATCTCTGCTCAGAACATGTCCATATCAGCCAACTTGTTACAGAGAAAGAGTAGGCATCTAGTATGAACAGGTTGTGTTTGCTTAATTGTTTTGTTTTAGCAGATATAAAAATATTAATAATAATGTTTTATTGCATCTTTAGATATTGGTGTACAGTGATAAATTATTAAGATTGAAAAAATTTAAGAAGAAAAACACTCAGAAGAAAAGTAATAAGGCAAGTGACCTGATAGATAATTGCCATAAAATGAACAAATCTGATAAAGGTCCATCCGAGGTAGCTATATACTAAGTATCAAAGTAATTGGCCTTTTAGTTTTCAAAAAGAAGGTAAAAATAGAATTGTTGACAGGCGACAGACAAATGGATGGACAATCACTTATTATAAATGAACTGCTTGCTCTGTGACACCCAAGTTGAAAAAATAATCTCCAATCTGTCTAACCATGTTATCTTCAGTTGTACTCATTAGGTAAATCAATTTAAAAATCTAGTCATATATTTTGCTATAAAAACTATAAATGCTACCTATCACATAATGCCTATCCACATGTAAAGCATTACCTTTAAATAGAAGAAAACATCCATTTACTTTCATCAATAAAATAAAAATGTGCATGTAAACTTGCATTACAAAAAAATTAATTAATTAATGTACTTACCATCTCCCCCGTATGTTGCATGTCCTGCACCTGCACCAGTACCATTACCTTGTGCGAGACCACCATCTACTGGTCCCCTGCCACTACAAATCAAGGCTGCGCCAGGCTCCAGATGAAAGTCAGTCACATATATCTTGAAGAACTCAGCTAAGAATGAGGAGGACCATTTCATATCCTATGATTTATCAATAATGTAAACATATTTTAAAGTATTCAAAAAATATGGTTAAAGACAGATATAATTAAACCATCTAATTATTTAAAATACTTTAAATTTATTTTCACTATTGTTGCTAAAGGAATGATTCAGTGAAAATAAAACCCAGCGAATATACCTTTTTTTCTATATTTTACATTTAACTCATCAAAAATCTATGAAATTAATTTCCAAACAAAAAGCCTTTTCACAGAAAATTACAGTACCGATACATGCACACTTAAATATCAAAGCAGGTTGTTAATTTTGACCATTGTTTTAAGTATGTTCCATTTATGATAGAGCTCTGAATTTTCACAGAATAATTAGATATAGCTAGTATGTATTCTATAAAGTATAAAAAGTTCATTTTGATAAAAAAAAAAAAAACTACTACATCCTGTTGCATGTAACATACAACAGCAGTTGAGAACTTGAATTTAAAACAGAGTGGCACTTAGATGGATTTGCACATTGGTTCATATTGAGTATGTAACATACTCTAACCATACATTACTCAGTACAATGTAGTTATACAGCTCAATATTATTACCAATATATCAATAATTAAGGCTTTATCTAACAGAATCCACCAAGCTAAATTCTCATTAAAAAACTGGGAAGATTTGGATGAAGCATAAACATGCACACAAAAGGAATAAAACCACTTACCAAATATCCAACTGTGAAGTCAATACCCATTGGCGGTGGGAATGATACATGTGACTCTGCACCAAATTCCAGACTTGAAAATCTAAACGTTCCTGGTTCATCACGGAAAACATAACTACCATCAATCATCAGTGAGGTATGTGCATAAGGTCCAATCTCAATTTTTCTTTCATGGGCGATCCTTAAATGTCTCACACCTTCCATCTGTCCATTCCATGATAACGCAGGGTCTCCTTTCCCTCTGATATCAACAGTAGTAGCTAGTACAGCGGTGGCCTCAGGATCTATTCTCATATTGACCTGTGTTTTCAGTGTTGATGTTTTAGCATCTATAACATCTACATAGTATGTATGCTTAGCATGCATATGTAGAAGACCAGTGAAATCACCATTTAGAGTGTGGATGGTTATGCTATGTTTCATGGTATCATTCACAGTCTGCAGAGAAGCTTCTCGAACAATTTCTATCACGTCAAACTCATAGTCAAGAGTGTCTGACTCATCTAAAGTGTAATACTGTGTCCATCCTCTGTTGTTGTTGTCAATCTTTAACACAGAGTATTCTACTTGGTTTCGGATTTCCTGTATATAAACTGATCCTGGTCCGCCATATGCCTTTGAAGACTTGCTGACATCGCCATCTCCTCCTAAAGCATCATACTTACCTTTGAAATGGTTTACAGATGTGTAAACTGCTAGTCGGCCTCCAGAACCTCCACCAGCACCCACTCCATATGCCAATCCTCCATGACATGTCACAGTGCCATGGCCCTCGATTACTGCACTATCCAACCACACAGACCCACCTGCTCCACCACCTCCTCTAGATTCTGACATTCCATCTCCACCATCAGATTTAATGTTGCCATCTAAGTACAGGGTACCACCAATGATCATTTTAATAAATCCACCCCCTCTACCACCGTCATCACCATTTGTCCCTCTTCCACCAGTGCCACCTCTTTCTGTTGGCTGATATATTGTCCCGAAATATATACCACCAGCTATATCACTTTGATTTGTATTGGTATAGCCATCACCACCAAAGCTGGCATGGCCTCCGCCTCCAGCACCACTGTCACCATATGCCTCATGCCCAGTTCCATATTCACTGTGTATGCTATCATCGGGACGATCAATAACAGATACTGTTACATCTGCACCATCCTCAACATTAACCTGTGAAGCAAAAACTATGATATGTTCGGCGGCGACTTTAACACCATACTTGATGTCCAACTCACCAACACTACACTTCATTCCCATATCTGGTGCAAAAGTAAACAAAGATTCCGTCATGAGTTGAAGACTTCCAAATTGAAATTCACCAGGACTGTCTTTGTACAAATATTCACCATTCTCAATCACAGCAGTGTGCGCATTAGGCATAAAGTACATTTTAGATTCTTGTCCGACAACTAAGTGTGCAACATTAGTCAGTGTCCCATCTAGCTGCAAGGAGACAACCTTTCCATCTTCTAACAGGACACCATTGCCTATTACATGGAGAGTTGATGGGAAGATCACTTCAGCATCTTCATCAATAATAAAATTCACTGCTGGTTTAGCAACAGTTTGAACAGACTCAATCACTTCAACAATAAACAGTTGTGATCCATGGGTGTGTAAAAGTCCAGATCTATCACCGTGTACCTCATGGATTATGAAAGTAGCATCTAATACTGTTTTATTGATGTGAAGTGATGCAGATTGGTGGATGTGGACTTCATCAAACTCATACTCAGTGGTACCCCACTCAGAAAGTGTCACATACTGGCTTATCATTCTATCTTGATTATTGATCCGTAGCTGTTGGTATGGAAAACTATTTCTTGTTTCTTCTAAATAAAGAGTGCCACTTCCACCACCAGCAGGTCTTGAATATTGATTATATCCATTCCCACCATAGTAATGATAGTTTCCTCTGAATTCATTGATAAGTTGGGTGTAGACAGCTGTACGGCCAGCAGAACCACCACCACCATACAGTGCACCATTCCCCCCATTCACAGTCACGTCTCCAAATCCATTCATAATGGTTGTATCAATCCATATACTTCCTCCACTGCTTCCAGATCCTCCATCTATTACCCCATCACCACCACTTGTAGTTACCATCCCATCAATTATCAGGTCTGTCGTATTGATCAGCACAGTGCCACCACCTTTATTACTTTTCAAGCCTCCTCTGCTTCCAGGCATGTCTGGTGTATAGATTGATCCATATGGAATACCGCCAGATACACTAGCAAATCGTCCAATACCACCATAACTACCATGCCCAGCCCCGCCACCACCATTGTCATCACTATCACCAGTACCAATCAGCAAGTCAATAGTCTCAGATTTGTTTCTGTCATTTCCAGAGCATGTAATGATACCACCAATCTCTACATCAAGAGTGGTAGCCTTTATGACAAAATAATCAGCTGAAATACTGGCAGTAAATTTAAGACCAAGAAATCCTGCATTCAAATGAGCCCCCATGTTTGGTTCAAACTCTAAAGTACTTCCACTGTACAGCTCAATTGTGGCAAATGTAAAAATTCCTATGGGCGCTACTACTTGTTCACCTGTAGGTGTTGGTATCTCAGCAGTATGTGCAGTCTGTCTCATTATCACTGATCTACGGTCGGCTAGGTATAAGTTGTGCACTCCAGTAAAACGCCCAGCCAAATCAAGAGCAGGGTATTCCTCAGTGTTCCCAACTAGCCATGTACTACTTGACATAATCACTTCACCAAGTTCATCAACTTTGATATTAATCATTGTTTTGGTGCTGGTGATGTTCTCAGTCAATTCTCTTTCTAGGACAACAGATTGCTGATTGTGTATATGTATCAGTGCCGAACCATCACCAACTAAACGTCCAATGTTAAAATTACGCTCCACGTCATCTTCAGGCAGTTGGAACTTCACCTTATCACTGAGATAAAGCTCGTTGATGTCATAGTGGATCCAATTTTCTTTCAGAGTAAAATAGTGATCAGTTTGTTTGTTACTATTATCAATCTTCAGAATTTCAAAAGGTGAATTGTCTTTTACTTCCTGTATGTATATTGAGCCTGCACCACCAGGCCCACTGCTATGTCCACTGCCACCAGAAGCTGAAACTGTACCATGATAATCATCCCAATGAGGACTGTTTATCGCAATGCGTCCACCACTACCACTGCCAGATGATGTTGTGCTTCCACTTCCTCCTATTGCACTGATGTGACCATGTCCGGTTAGTAAAGTACTGCATGTTAGCCACACACTACCGCCACTGCCACCACCACCACCACCCGACAAGAACTGCCCGTCTGCTCTTATGAAACCGTTGTTGTGAAGTTCTGTTACCACAAGACGAATAATTCCACCACCCATTCCACCTGAGCCACCACTTGTGCCAAATTCATTTGGGGTATAAATAGTTCCAAAAGCCTGAGAGGCCAGGGAGAGATCTCTACCAATGCCAACACCACCCGGGCTAGCGTAAGCACCTCCGCCATACGTGGCAGCATCTCCATTACTAAGATGGTCTGCATTCATGGGTGCCATGCCACTAACATCTAAAGCAGCATTGCGATCAATATACAACAACCTTGCAGTGATGTTGAAGAACTCTGCATTCAATATCACATCACGTTTCACTTCAAAGAAATCAGCAGTCATTGACAGACCACCAACCATCACATCCAACATTGCATTCTTCTTAATAATGACTGTAGTGAACAGGTAAGATCCTGGGAGACTCGTATCCAGGAATCCACTTTGGTCAGTAACAGCAGTGTAACTTGTATTATGTAAGACCAGCTCACCATATGCATCAATGACTATATTCCAGGCCACAAGACGTCCAAGTACTTCTAACCTCGTTTTTGACAATGATAAACTGTCTGGGAACACAATTGAAGCTTCTTTGTTAACAAGGAAATTAACTTCAGTGGTCATGTGTGTTATCATACCTTCGAAACGTTCAGCGTAAAGAACTTGTTGATGATTTACAAAATATGTTGCAGTTTTGTCCCCTATGAAACTACCAATGCTAGTCACAGTTGACACGCCTTCTGTATAGACTTTGGCATATCCTGCAAGAACAAGGAATATCATAACTTAAATATCTAAATCACACAATGAAGAACACAATACAGTATAATACAAAATATCAATGATTAGTTTGCAAATGTTTCACAAAAATAATTTAAAGGGCGGTAGTCATCGCTTCACGCAAGCGCAATATATATGGGTCTCATATCAACAAATCAACAAAGATGGTGACTTTGACTGTTGTGCAGATCAACGGGTACAAACTGAGACATTACCAAGCTTTATATGGGGTATTTTTAGGTGACTGGAAGGTATCAAAGGAGTCACCGGTGGTAATTAGTGCGCGACGCCTTACTTCAATTAGAAGAGCGCATTGGATTGTGGCAAAATCAATGTTTTTCAACACAAATGTCGCAGATGCGCAGCCTGGCGACCACCGCCCTTTAATGTTGATGGCCATTTTATATTTATTGCAGAAATTGCTTGAAAATATAAGCAGCAAGCAACATTTTCTTTGGTGATTTAGGAAACAATATTTGGAAGATTATCACGACACAGCCGGTAAGATTGTATCAACAAAGATCTGTTTCAAACTGGTGGCTTGTGTTTATTTGGCAGGAACCAATGTTACTTTGTTACAATGTTACTTAACTACTGTTTTGTCTTATTGTCTCAATAATGGCATCAAAATATTATAAGGCATATGGTCAGCAAGTGCATACATTAATTCCATGACTTTAATTGGCAACCTATTTTAACACTTTACCTTACAAGGATTAATGTTTTCACTGAAAACTGAAATATATTTGCGACCCACAATCCAATAACTCACAACCCTGGCCAAACTTTCACAGGCCTTACAAGAGAAACAATTACCACATGAATATTTGCCACAAATTCTGATGACGTCTGGGTCAATTTGATGATAAAAAACAATTTGAAAAATATAATTGTTATGCAAGTTACATCATAAGATGCGTAATATTATATCTTACCCATCATAGATAGATAATCATAATCATATGAATCATCTGATATCATAGTTTGACTCTGCTGATGTAATTCACTTGACTCGTTTCCATTGATGAAAAGATGGTAAACGGGACGCTGGTTTACAATGTCCCCCAGAAAGAATGTACCAACACCTCCTCCATATGAGCTAAATGGTGAATCGTTACTTCCACCATACACAGTCACTGATCCAGCAAACGTATACCTGATATATAACAAAATGTTATGAATTATGATCTAATATGCATATCAACGCAAAAATTGGGATAATAGTTGGACACACAAATCTTGTCTAATGATTTTACTACCGTAGTTATCTGGGTAAGGGCCCCATAGGAAATCGCCAAAAAATAGGGGTGGGCTTATGCCCGGAAACCCCCTGCAAAAAAACAAAAATTTACGAAAATTGACAACACGCACATCAAACTGTGGCAGGGAATAGAATGGCAAATAAAAACATGCAACGGAAATAATTGAACAATATGCAACATTAGAAGTAAATATAAAGACCCCAACGTAAATACAGAAAAGCATGAACTTTACAATTATATCTGTCTTCTTCAAAAAGATGAGTACCCTATTCATATTAAGTATGGAAGGTTTTTTTCACAAAGGTATCATGTGCCAGTATGTTATTTGATCATATAGCAGCACATGTGCTTTAATACATAAATAACATAGGTATATCTATCTATGGTTAAAGTAAGTCATATTAAAATAATCCAGTGTACAATAAATGTAATTAAAGAGGCCCTCATTTAGCCAATTTTTCAAAATGTATTCAGTATGCTCAAATTCTAGTCCACTTTACACTACTACATGCTTTTGAACAGTATACTCACATATTTTCAATGAAGATAGTTACACGACCACCTGCACCACCACCACCTAAGTTGATGCCACTGCCACCATTTGCAACCAATCTACCATGGCCAATCAGATTATTGCATCTTATAAGAGCACCACCTCCACTACCACCACCACTATTAGGGCCACTGCCACTGTTTCCAGACAGGTGTATGGTTCCTGAAGATATTGACAGAAATTAAGTAATATATTGAATGAATTTAAAATAAAAATGTTTTCAAGACATTCTCCACACAATATAATTTTGTTTGCAGTAGTCAACAACAACTGTAGGTTATAAAATCATGGTATGTTAAAAGCAAAAAAAAAAGTATTTTGATAATTTTTTGAGAAAGGCAGGACTTCAAAATTAAGTTCAGGAATGCAGTATATGGATAACATTGCTGCCTAAAGAGAGTTTTTTACTACATTTATTGAATGTGCTCCACAGGCAATGGTAGAAATGGATAAACAAATAAATAAATTCATATGCAATCTTTGCAGAGATGTAAAATGATGATAAAGACGATGATGAATTATTATATAATACTAAACACAGATGGAAAACAAACCTTCAAGAATGAGATTTCCACTCAATGTAAACTGTAGATAACCTCCTCCAGATCCTCCAGTACTATCCACACCACTGCCTCCTCCACTGCCACTCTGTATTGGATTTTGTATTGTGTCATACCATGTTCCACCAAGTCTCACCTAAATCTTTGGCTATTCCACCAAATCCACCATGTCCTGCTCCATAACCAATATCATTGACCTGAAAATGGTAATCAAGAAAAGTCGATATTTGTTGTGATATATATGCACATGTTTAAGGCAATGAATCCACAAATTGAAAAATTCTGAAATTCTGTAAACCCATATTATTTTGTGTTTTCGCTTACAAGTTTCACTTATCTTGCAAATCAAGTAACATTGCAAAATTCTGTAGCAGTGTCAGTGACAGTAAAAGTTAAATGGTCTATAATAATCAATTCATTTGCTGCTAGGCGCAATTAACAGCAAATGTGTATTTAGAGTTTAGAGTGTCAGATATACAACTCTGATGGTCAACACATTAAACTCAATAGATGATTTTCTGTTAACTGCAGAATCTTGTTTATTGCAAGTGAAAAGCGTAGACGAGAAAAACCAATGCATGTTTTGTTTTTTGAAAATGTTTCGATTTTGAACTTGACTTTCTTTTTATAGCTCAATGTCAAAATGCTGAACTCTCAGAGGGAAATATTGCAGAGTGAGATATCCTCACTTTATCAAAATTGACCATCATCAAATGTGTATAGCATATTATTAAGCGCAGAAATACCTCAAAAAAACTCTCATGTTTGTCGAAACACATGCAATGTTCTGATGACATTATGAGCTTTGTTTTTCCGTTTGATTTCAAGCATAACATGGGATCTCACAGTGAACAGAAATTGGGCTATTACATTTTGTATGAATGAATTATGAAAGGTATAATTATACTTACTGTATCACCAAAACCAGGGCCTTCATCTGCATCATATCCTTGACCATTTAAATCTACTGTGGAACCAGCGTGTAATATGATGTCATTAGCGATGACTTTCAATGATCTTCCAGTGAGGACAGATCCATACTTGGCCTCTATTGTTCCAATTGATAGTACTTTAGCATTGGTAGGATCTGCTACACCTTCAAACTGCACAGTGGAATGTTCCCCAAGAGTAAGATAAGTTAATTTGTAAGCTCCGGGTTCTGAAATGTATGTGTACTCTCCACCACGGAATAGAGCAGTTTTTCCTAGCTGTGAGAATACAATTGTTTGGTACGCAGCGACAGACAGATCAAACACATTGGTCAGTGTACCTGTAGCAACAAAAAATGGCATCAATTGTAATTCATTTTAGCACAAAAACTGCTGTATTTTAGAATCATACAAGAAATTAATGTTACTGTCACCGCTATAGTGTTCTGAACATCAAAACAGTAATATAGCCAGCTAAGGCTGAGAAAAAAAATATCTCTGTTTCTCGTTTCCACGCGGCTCATTTTGAACTATGCGCCTCGAACGTTTTTTTTCTTCTAAAGCATTCCAAAATGCGCTTGTACTCACAATTGTCTCAAATTTCGCCTATTTTAGCTCAGTATTCAAAAAAAAAAAAAAAAGTCGCCTCGCCTCCTCATTTTAAAATTTCCATGAAACGAGAAACAGGGAATTTTTCTTTCCTGGCCTAAGTTTGCTATGCACATCTATGATTGTTACATGATTAAAACTGGTTAGGTCAAACCATTGATGACTTTACAAGAATTATGACACACACAGTGACAAAAATAACTTAAAAACACAAATATTCATTTACCTGAAAGAATATTATCAGGACCAAGAAATGTAACTCTTGGTGGTAGTCTCATTTCACCGCCTTGATCCACATGAAAACTACTCTCCAGTGAAGTCTCTTGAGTGTATTTATCGATTTCCATGATCATAGTTTGGTGGACATGAACCACACTGGTGACATCACCATAAAACTCATCAGCAACTACTGAGGTACCATCACCTTCAATCTGCAGAACCACGTTATCTTTGATATGAAGTTCATTAAATTCATACTCAGTAATCTGGGTTTCATTCAAAACTG